TAATTCTTTTTTTTTTCTTTAGTTGTTTATCAAATTGGTAGTTATAAGGTTTTAATTTCTGGTATTTTAAGTAGAATTGTACCGCTATATTCAATAGAATCAATATTCAAATGATTCTAGCAGTAAATCGGTAAATATCCTCCAAAAACACTTTTTTTTTTCTGATCATAGCTGTAATTGAGCTTTCTTTATTTGGTGTTAAGTTGTTTGGCAGCAGAGGACTGACCTCTTTAGGGACCTGTTGGACCGGCACAAATGACCAAATCTACGACTTGCAGGCAAACGAAGACAGAGACATTGAATTACAACCATCAGAGAGTCTGCGGCCTGTTTTTCCCCCTCTAGTCTCACTCTGGAGGATAAACCTTTAGAAAGTATAACACAAAGAAACGTTAAAATCTGGTTTGTTACTTTCTAAGACTTCCTTTATTCTAAAGCTAAACAGGAGGAATGACATTGTAAAAGTATCTGCTTTAGGTGTTGACCATTGGCTGTATAGCAAACCTACTAAAGTCAGTCGTTATTTTCATCGTAGACATTTCCTCTTACTTTTTTCAACAGAAAGGTAACAGATTGATAATATATTAATTAGTCAACCGGTCGTTTTAATATGTTAGCGTTAGGTGATACTGTAAGCAAAGGAAACATGAAGGAGCCCTTTCTAAGCCAGCTGACCAGCAGCATGCAGCAATAGGTGAAGAAGGGGGAAACTCTACATCCTTCTATCAACCCAGGAATTTCTGTAGCATTCGATTGAAATAAATTTTAATTCCAGGGCGTGTTTCTGTTCAGTAACATTTTAAAAGCTGCTGATGATCAATAGATCCAACAGATTTGATCCCTATTGGAAGCTTTCAGGGGCTCTTTAATGAGAACTGTAGCTTGAGCCGCCTTTAGTTTCTGGATTGGAAATATCCAAACAGCTGAACTTATCTTTAAAAAAAAAAAACATTCTAGAGTCTTCTTGCAGATGGTGGAATCAAAGGCAGACTGCTCCGGTACTTTCTGTGGCATTTAATGAAAGACTTTAAACTAGGAAGAATAGTTTGAAACTCAAAAGACGAGCCAGCGCTGGATCTACCGGCCTCCTGCAGCCAGAAACTAGCCACCCGCGCCCCCACTCCCTGCACACTCCCAAACCCCACCCAGGAGGATGCCCATTGTTCCCCCAGTCCTCTAAACAAAGCACGCCCCCCTCCCATACCCCACCTAACTGCTTTGCCCCTTAACACAAAAACACAGGGCTTTGTTGCTCTAATAAACCGGCTCCACTCCCCAAATTTCATTACACTGGAGCTCAGACTCTTGCCCCACCTTAACAGTTTTTAATACGCCTGAATAAATTCATCCAGGTGCTAAAATCTAAGGATTCGAAGCTAGAAAGAGAGAAAAGAGAGGGAATAATATCTAAACGGCTGCAGACGGGATTTAGTGGATCACCTGTTGATTCATCCAACTGATGCAAACAAAAACTGCTCAGAAAAAAAAAACAAAATGCAGCGTCACAAGACTTCATTTCATGCCAGGAAGATTTCCCCCTCCTAATCCCAAGCCTGTTTAAAAAAAAAAAAAAACTGTGTGCCGGATTTTGTGCCTAGAAATGAGACGACAGATGAGGCAACAAGGAGGAGGGAGTCTGGGGAGCAGGCTGCATCTCCAAACCCCACCATATTGCAGCAGCATTGGTGGAGGAGATGAACACACACATAAACGTGAGCGCGTTTGTGACTAAAGCACACAGAGAACATATGGTGCGTCCTCGGCCAGCGATGCCTGTTGCTGCTGCAGCAACAATAGAGGACTGGACGGCAAGAGGCAAACACACAAGTGTACAAGCACACAACACACACACCAAATAGTCATTAGTCAGTCAGCCTGCGTTGCTCGGACCCAGAACAAACGCACAGATTTGCATTTTGCACCTCCCTCCCTCTCTCCCTGACACACACACACACACACAGACACACACTTCCTGGATCTCTACAGGTGCACAGAGCTCTCAAAACAGATGTCAACGAACTGGAGAGGAGAGGGAGAGGCGCTGAGGGGGCTGAGAGAGACGGAGGGGGGAGGAAAGTGGAGACTGTTTGCCCAGAGTGACTGACAAAGCAGGCTTAAACACAATGACAGACACACAAATGCTTTCTCTGTTACACTTTCAGCTTAGTCACAGCTTTTTATTTTAGAACAATGGAAGAAATGAAAATTAAAAACTGAGTGTGACGGTTTAAGAAGTCCAAAACATAGTCCACAGAAATAATCTGATACGGTTCACTGATGTAGAAACGTGAAACAGAAAAGGCTGGAACAGAGCGTGTTCAATTATTAGAGAAACAGAATCACAGGCAGAGATTTATCCGTCGACGAAGCCGAACCGAGAGTTTCCGATCAAACCGAAGTCTCTGATTGTCAGAAAACTAAAGATCCACTTCTCCCCATTTCCTTCCAGTTCCAAACTTCCTGCTAAGATTCTCTGGATTTCTCCTCTGATTTAGAGCTTCTTAAACAAGAAGTTTCACAATATTCCCTCTATAAAGACGTCAAAAATGTTTTCTTTTATATAAGAAAACTTTATTTGGATTCAAAACATCGACCTCCATCAAGGAACAAGGAGCAGAGCGACCAGTTAAAATCAGAATAGACATTAATCCACTGATTTTTTCCCCCGTCTCTAAAGTAACAAAGTTAAATTACGGATAAATTAAGTATTTCAAAAAGTGAAGTGTCTTTATCGATTGAAAATGTATACTTTTTTCCTCTAGAACTACTTTGAAGTCTTTGGTTTCTGAAGCACTACGAAACATCCAAACCACAAACGTCTTAACTTTTGCGTCTCTCCCGTGACTAATGCATCGCTTGCTTCCCTCAAACCCTGAAGGCAAAATTCATCTTTATCACAATAAGTTGAGTTAAAATGGTGAAACGTCTGATGTTTAGTTTTAAAGGTCATAACGTGCCGATAATGTAGCACGTCCCTACAGATGACTACTATGACAACAAAACCCTGATCAACCAATCAGGGTTTTCTGGGCCGGTATGGTTTTATGTGCGTTTGGATTCCAATTTTTTATTCCAAGCATTATAAAGCATAAAAAAGGAAAAAGGTAGAAAAAAAGGGAAAATATTAAAATATTTAATATCAGCAATTAACGGTATTAAGTAAAGACTCTAGTTCTCTTCAATCTAAACGGTTCACTTCACAACCAGCATGAAAAGCATCCCAAAGCATCATAACACCACCACCATGCTCCACCACAGGTATCACATTCAGTCGGTGAAGTTAAGTAGGAAAACGTTTGCTTAAAGAAAATGGTAAATGATGTAGGTTTCTTAAGCTCTTTTTAATCCAACAGAAGAAAATAAAATAAAATCTTAACGATTATCCTCATTTACGAAGCTAAGCTCGCCTCCAACCTCTGATTTTTATTCCACTAAAAAGCGTCTCAAACTACGTGTTGTTGGTTGATGCTTTTACTGACCAAAAACGGCAGGACTGCTGAACTTAAATGCTTTTTAGGAATGTGAATAACCAAAAAAAAAAAAGTTTAATTCTGACCCACATGGGGTCACAGCATTTTGTTTTGTATTTACTTAATCATATTTAGTTACTTTAACACAATTGTTTCATGTTAGGAGGGTAGGACATAAAACAATTGTGTAAAAGTTACTAAATATGATTAAGTTAATGTCAAAAGCGGCTGCGTTACTTTTTTCAGAGTAGTTTCTGTAGGAATTGTGCATGTAATGAAAATTAGCCAGATGAAAGACTATGAACACCTTTTTATTGTTTCTGTTCAGACAAAAAATAAAATAAAAATAGAACCGCATAAAAACCTGCAGGTCAGGCCTCCAAAAAGTCTCGATTAGTGCATCAGTTTATACTTCGAGGCACGTTTAATCTTAAAAATCGGTAGCAAAAAGGATTAGTTCCCTTTTTTATTATTATATGAGTTGTTTTTAATATAATAAAGCAATTTCAGTTCTACAACTGTAACACTGCAGCAAAACTGCATTTGAAACAAAGTATTTATCCTATACTGGTGATTTTACTCAGTATAAACTCATCATCTGAACAAAAACAACCAGTAACTGTCCTTCTCTCACTTTTAATCGCTTTTCATCTTGTAAGACATCAGACAAAAGGGGCTCGCTGTTCCAGAAGAAGAGCATCTGCCCTGCTTCATCCAGGGCTGTAATTTTCCTCCAAAAATGACATTGTGGTTTTTCCTGCACCGCCACAGATCTCAGGCTATAAAAGGCCAAAGAACAAACCCTTTAATCAATATTCAAAAAAAAAACACAAGAGTGAGAGAATGGTGGGTTTAAATGATGTTCTCAGGAAAAGTCTCAAAAAACACAGATATAGTAAATCAACATGTGTCAGCAGGATAAAAAAACAGGTTTTAATTGGAAAAATCAGAGTTTTTTTGTCTCTGATTTTAAAAGCCTTTATGCTTGAAGCAGATGATATGCTGCATCCACTGGGTAAACACTGGCTGTTATCAGCCTGTGGCCTGTTTCCCTGACTGGGGCCTGGCTGGCTGTGCAGGGAGAGAGAAAACCCCGCCGATGCAACAAGTCCCCCATTCACTCCCAGCTTTGTTAAGCTGCCTCCCAGCTCTGAGAGCGGAAAGCTTCTCTCTCCATTTAAGGACACCCGCAGGCTGAGATCTAGCAGGAGAAAAGGAACCAGAGGAGGTGGAAGGGAGAGGAAAGTGTCAAAAGAGGAAGATTTCTGGGTGTTTTGGTGTCGAGGAGGGAGAAAAGGGGAAATAATAAAACTGGAGTGGAAGCTGTCGCTGGGAGGCTGGACGCGATTCGGGGGAAAAAAAATCAGCTTGTTTAACATCAACATGTGGAAATGTTTCAATCCTTTTTGGCTCAAACTGCTTTTTTATTTAAGAAACGAGCGAAACCGGGAGATTTGAGACGCGGATCCTGAAGAGGTGATCGTTTGGTGGAGGGAGGGGAGGAGGGGGGACTCCTCCTAGGGAACTTACCTCGATCCAAACGCCGCTTTTCTCCTTTTAATTCCCACTTTTCCCACCGGATCGGAGCCGCCGTAGAACCGGGAAGCGCTCGGCCAACTCCGGACGGCGCACTCGGCTTGGCGCTGATGGACGATCGGGGCGCGCGGAGTGCGTAAAATGCGCAGCGTCTCTCCAAGGATGCGAAATATGCGCGGAATGGGAGCAGGAATGAAATGAACGCAGCGAACTGAGTTGAACGGGGCGGGGTGAGAGGGACTGGCGTCACCCTTGATGAAACGGAGTGAGTGAGAGATGGGAGGATGGGTGGAAAAAAAAGGAAAGAGACGGAGGGAGGGAGCGGACTGTAAGGGCTGCTGCTTCAATAACAAAAGAAAAGAGTGTAGCAGCGCCTAAACTCTGGGGGGCAGATAGAGACACGGTCTGCTCTGCTCGGCTGGACACCAGATAAGAAAAAATATGCTTAGTCGGTAACTTTTGGAAATTTACACAATAACTACCACATCTAATAATATTTGGTTATTTTTGCAAACACATTGAACTCATCAGAAATAGTCATAAACTTTCAACTAAATCATTTCCAGTAAACTGGGGTCTACTAAACCATTTTTTTGTTCAGTTTCTTTCATAAAATATTTTTTTTTTCTTAAATTATTTTTGGAGATTTTGTCCAGAAAATGTCTAATGTTACATGGGTTCTTAATTGTTACAATCCCTCAGCATGATACTGCTATCACCATACCATAGTGTGAAAGCCTTGTTTTCCTAACCTTCTGAAGGTTTTTGGACTTTGGCAACTTACTTGTTTTCAGTTTCAACACATTGGATTGTTTGTTTGTCAATAAAAAACTGCTGGTTTAAGATTGAATAGAGCTTTATGTGTTTTTTTTATTATCTTTGTAGATTTTAAATCCAACTAAAGGTGGAAAGAGTGCCAAAAGATTGGACTATTTTTTACTCATGTATAAGTAAAAGTTGATGTTTTGAGAAGAGTAAAAAACCAATTGCTAAGACTGAGTGGCTAAACATAGCATCAGATTTCCAAAACAAGACAAAATCAATATATTATGTAGCATACTGTGTGTTAGAGTAACTTCCTCCAGTGACATACTAATACTTTGTGCTGTATGTTACATTGACCTTCATAAAAGATATAAGAAAGATTAAGACAACAAAAAGAAATTCTAATTTTAGCCAAACTCAAACTGTACGTCTTTATCTGGAGCATTTCAAATGTGTTTTTTCTTCATTCGGTGAAGATACTCATAGTGGGAAGAGTAGTAAAAAAAACAAAATACTCAAGTAAGAGTAGACATTCTTTATAAAAGTTTTACCCTAGGTTAATGGTAAATGGTAATGGAGTGTTGGCCTAGTGGTAAGAGCAGTGCACTTGTGCTCTGAGAAGGTTGCAAGTACCTGGTTTGATATGGAATAAAGAAAATATGAATAAAAAATTTGATAAACCTTTCATTTCCAATATATTTAAAACTATCATTACCGTCAGACTGTTTACCAATTTTTTTCAATGAGTTGGACTGCGTGTGTGTTGCAGTTAACGCAGATATGTCGCCACCCCTTCTGCAGACACTCTACACTATGCGTATTTCCTCTTTGGTGCCTGACCGGCTCGTGGAAAACGACTCGTGAAGTTGGGCCAGCTAAAGAAGTGAGGTGCGTGAGAACGCTGGGACCCTTTTTTCACCTGGATCCCCGCTCTTTTTCGCCCCTCCGTTGTTGCACATAACATAGCGCAGACCACGCTTTATGAGGCATAAATCAAAAATATCTGCGACAACTCACTGCGACACACTGCTGTGGGAGTATAAGCAGCCCTTAACTGTGATATAGCTCTCTGTTCTCTGTGTAATCTGTGAAGAGAGACTTTGTGCTGCTAGCAGCTCCTTTAAACTGGTGGTACTGGTTCTGGTTGCTCTCAGAGGAATGTTAAAACTCAGCTCCATGAACGCATTCATTTACCAAAGCCAACTTCATCTACTGTGTTTATTGCCAGGATGTCTTTTTCTATCATCTTATCTTTCTTTACCTTCTGATCAAAGCAGAAAAGGTACGCTGCTTCTCTATGCTGCACGGCTAATTGGGCGCTTTTTAGGTGATATCCTAAGGCAGAGAACTTTAACAAGGGGTCCAAGACCCCTAGGGGGTCCACAGAGGTACAGCATGGGTGTTGCGAAAGTTTTGGTTGATTAGACTTTTTTTTTTATTCCCCTGCAAATTTTTTCCACTAATTGAAATGTCTTTAAACCTACGTTAATATGAATTTAGTAAACTGTAGTAAACAGATAAATGGAGGCAGAAGATGTCTTTCAGTCATCAATGCTCACATTCAGCGACACACAGGAGCTCTTTCAAGCTGGACACCGTTTCATTCACAACACCTGTCCCATCAACCAGGAATCAGAAATACTTTAATAATCCCATTTATTTACTTTCGTTGCATTACTCGAGCTGTAATAGAGTGACTATAGGACCAGTTTCGGTATAACACAATTTCATACAATATCTATATAATTAGGGGGGTCCCTGCTCCATCTTGTCATCGGTTTGGGGGTCCTTGGCCTGGAAAACGTTGAAGAAGCCTTTCCAGCGTTCACATATACAAACAGAATCATATAAAGTGTATCCTCGTCACCATTAAACAGTTTGAGAGTGTTGGCCTAGTGGTTAGAGCAGTGCGCTTGTGCTCTGAGAAGGTTGCAAGTTCCCCATTTTGATCCCCGCAGCCTCCACTCCGGGTCGCTGAGCAAGACCCTTAACCCCTGATTGCTCCCTGGGCGCTGCACGATGGCAGCCCACTGCTCCCTAAGGGGATGGGTTAAATGTAGAGAGTAAATTTCTCCAGTGTGAGATCAATAAAGTTCAATTACTTCTTTCGCAAGTAAATGTAGAAAGAATGGCGCAGTAAAACTATTCCCACAAGTGAATGCTTGTTAAAAAGTTACCAAAGGAAATGTAACTAGTTAGAACTCACTGATAAACTCAACCAGAACCTGAGAGGTTCACCGGCTCGAAAGCTCTCATTTAACAGTTCCTGCCTGTGAAAATGCATTTTCTTTGGCTGATTCAGCAATTTAGTCTAATAAATCAAAGCAATTTCTCAGGTAAGATTTTCATTTGAAATCAGATGTGAGCGATTGATGAATTACTTTCATTTTTTAACAAAGAAGTACCCAATAAAAAGCTTAATCAGCATCTAAACCAGTCTGTCCAGAAGAGTCAAACATTACATTTACAAACAGTGAGATTAAACTAACTGCGTCAGCTTCCTTACACCCCGGGGTGTGGGGGCTGTCTTTGTGTCCCCCCCTTCCTCCCTCAGATCTTTGAATGCAGCAGGCAGCCACCTCTGCCTCATAAAGGAGTTGTTGTTTACTACTAAGCTCTGCCTATCTCAGGTTTCACCCCCTCTGGCTGTTCTGGACTGTCATCTCCTCAGAGGGAGGGGCCTTGGACATAAAACAAACACAGATATGCAGGAGTCACAATCCCCAGGTACACCGCCTGCAACCCGACGCCGCCTCCGAGCCCCGGCTGGACGAGTGGCTGGCGGGAAAGCATTCCACATGGCAGCGTGTCCGTGTTTGTGTGTGTAAGATGAAATTCTTCCAGACGAATACAAACAGCTGATTCACATGTGGACTGTGTGGTTCTTGGCGGAGCCATGTGAGGCTCAATCTCAGACCCGGAGCAGTGCAAACACGGAGCCTGCCAGTAAAACATTCAGCGCTGTGACCTTCGGGTCAACAGCCTGACCTCAGCTCTGACCCCACCTGGTTTCCTGATGTTTTATTAACGCCAGAGATGCCAGGAATCTGACACCCTCTTCCTGCTGGATCACTGCACACAGAAGCAAAACAAACCTATCTGACTTCTACTGCAGTGGATCTTTAGTTTTTTTTGTTGAATTTTTCATTTTGTGTTTTTCTTCTGATAAAATTCATGCATTTCTACGTTTCAAAGGGAAGGGCAACATTCAGAACACCTGACTAAAATGGAGAAACAGCTTTAGGTGTATTTTAAAGCACCACATCCAACAGACCACATCTTTATTTGATATCATTAAGACTTTTCAGGAAGATCAGTGTGAACCAAGTCAGGTTGATCCGGCAGTAAAATGTCTACCTTCAGGGCTCTGTTGCGTTCCATTTGTTTGGAGATTTATAGCTGTGAGTCTGACGGTGCACCACAGTCTCCTTTGGAATAAATCGCTAGATAAAATGAAAAATAAAACAATGAATACTGCTGTATGTACTGTTTCCATTTGAAGACATTCTTAATACCCAAGTGGGCTGCCATCGTGGGGCGCCCAGGGAGCAGTGTGGGGTTAACCCCTAGAACCCGACGGACCCACCGGTGGGTCCAGCTGCCACGTGACCTCGTAATTTTAACAAACCCCCAGTATTGATGTAAAAAAACACATTTGGCACAGTTTGGTGACATTTTTGGATAAATGTGCCAAAATGGCCTCTCCGCCTAAGAAATTTCTCACTAATACCATTCTAAAATAAATATGATTCATCTGATTGAGTCCAAATTTGGTATCTTTTTACACAACATTTAGATTTAAAAGTCTGTACTACTTTTTTGTGCTATAAATAATATTTTGGTAGTGTTTTGCAATGTTTATTTCAAAGAAAATTTTAGCGAGGTTCAAAAAATGCAAAATATTTTGTATTTTGTCCCTAATATTTCAGGCAGGGTCAAAGCTACAATGGTGCTGACACCAGAAAACCATTCTATGACATCTTACCTTTACAGACGTACCAAAAGTTTCTTCTTAAATCTAATAGCTGTGAGGCTATAAGTGATTTACTTTTGTGTGTTTTTGTCAGGCAGAAATTTATTTATACTCCCTTAGGGTGTAAGAGGTTAAGGCTGATTTATCCTTCGAAACTAGGGCGTCTGCTTGTGTGTTGATGTGAACTCAAAGATGTCCCCGCCCCTTCCACAGACACTCTGCTGCACCTCTCCAAAATTGAAGGTGACCACAGACAGGAGGCCTCTGATTGGTCAAATCTACATCCGCTCTACGATATACGTATTTCCGGCTTGTTTTGTTTGTATGATCACCATTGTGGAAAAAGACTTGTGAAGATTGACCAGCTAGAAGGGCGTGGTGTGCTAGAACGCTGGGACCCTTTTTCCACCTGGATCCGTTCTCTTTTTCACCCTCATGTCCCTCCGTTGTCAGACAAACTTCCCCCCCACTTCATCAGCGCCTCAGCTGTATCTAGACCCCCA